TAATTTTGTATTTTTAGTAGAGACGGAGTTTCTCCATATTGGTCAGGCTGGTCCTGAACTCCTGACCTCAGGCCTGCCTTGGCCTCCCAAAGTGCTGGGATTACAGGTGTGAGCCATAGCGCCTGGCCTTGGGCTATTTTTTTTTTTTTAATACCTATGCTAATAACACAGACTTGATCAAATCTTAATTTCTGATACTGCAATTTCAAAACTGTGGCTTTTTTAAAAAGATGGGGTCTCATTGTGTCCCCTACTCTGGAGTGCAGTGGCATAATCACAGCTCATTTCAGCCTCAAACTCCTGGGCTCTAGCGATCCTCCCACTTTAGCCTCCTGAGTAGGTGGGACCACAAGTGCAGGCCACCGTGCCTAGCTAATTTCAGGTCTGTTCTTTTTCCTTAAGAATGCTTTGGCAATCCAGGGTCTTTTGCATTTCCATATGAATTTTGAGATTGTTTCTTCTATTTCTGTGAAATAAAGGTCAATAAACAAGTTAAAAGACTATCAGGTTCACCAGCAACAGGAAAAATACCAAAAAAAATCCAAAAAAAACAAAAAGAGGCACCATTTCAGTGCCCGATGAGCAAAACTGTTAAGTTGAACTAACATTAAGTGCAGGACAAAAACGGGGAAACAAGCACCCTCACTCACTGCTGAGGAAAGTTTAAGCTGGGTCTACCCTTTGGAGAGCGATTTGGAAATATTTAGCCATGCTGAAATCATAATGTACCTTCTGACCTACCCAACAACTTAACTTCTAAGTACTTATCTAACATGTAAACTCTCACATGTACACAAGAGACGTTCAAATACATTCGTTGACTGTAACATTAAGATGGTCAAAAGCTGAAAATGCTGTCAGAATTTTTCCTATCAGTAGGGGAGTAAGTAAATTGTGACATATTCATACAATGAAATACGAAACAGCATTTAAAATGAATGAACCAGAGTTACAACCTTGAAGCAGATATAGCAAAATGTTCTATCTATTAAAGGTTAGTAGAGTCTACAGCAGGTGTTATCTTCTGTGCTTCCAGTGAGTGAAATACTTCAGGCTGAGCACGGTGGTTCATGCCTGTAATCCCAGCACTTTGGGAGGCTGAGGCGGGCAGATCACTTGAGGTCAGGAGTTAAGAGACCAGCCTGGCCGACATGGTGAAACCCCATCTCTAAAACATTAGCCAGGTGTAGTGGTGTGCACCTGTAATCCCAGCTACTGTGGAGGCTGAGGCAGGAGAATTGCTTGAACCCAGGAGGCAGAGACTGCAGTGAGCCGAGATTGCACCACTGCACTCCAGCCTGAAGTGAGACTCGTCTCCAAAAAAAAAATTTTTCAAAAATTTTAAAAAGTAGCAAAATATAAAAATGTTGGGGAAAAAGACAATACTTCTCCCACTTTATTTTTTTTATTTTTGAGATGGAGTTTGAACTCAAGTTCAAACAGGCATGAGCCACTGCACCTGGCCTCCCCCTTTATAATATCAATTTCTATGATACACATCACCGTACTTGTAGAACAGCAATTTAGCCACTGAATTTACCAGTGTAGAATTGCCGTGCCCAGAAGTCTTGTGAAATAAGTCTGTCTTACTGTTTAAGACACATTTAATTAGGTTTTCTGCTCCTTGCAGCTTATCGCATATTGATACAATGCTCTTTATCAAAACAAAACACCCAACTCTGAAGAATGTACAAATTCCAGTGGGTTCTTGATGACTATAAAGACCCTGTTATTCTCATATAGGGTGGAGGCAGGAATTTTGCAAACTACACAAATAGCTGTAGTTTTACCAGAACCACTCTAGTTTTGCTTCACACTTTCCCAATCATTGAACAGTTTCTAAGAGAATGTGCCTATTTTGTTTTCGGCATTGTTAGCCACATCTAGAAATGTGACAGAGAGTCTGAGTTGCTTTTTTGGGAGTATTTAAAGGCATGTGTCAGTCTTCCTATGTGGTTCCCTAAAAATGTTGTTTAAATATGTATTCTATCTTTCCAAGAAGAGGGACAGCTCATGGTTAGGAAATGGCTTTGTTTCTTTCCTAACCTAGATAGATCCAAAATCCAGTATTCTACATAGGCACTCCGCAAGCTGTCGAGCCAACTCCCACAACTACAGAGACAGCTTTTCATTCAAACAGCACACATCCGTAATAAACAATTACAAAAATATGAACATTTTAATTGAATTGATTTATTTAAAAAGACTATAAAATTTGACATCAAGAGAGATGAAAAAAAAAAAATGATTGGCTACAAACAATGTAAAAATACATTTCCCAGCCCCCAAACAAACATAATTTAAGTAATTATAAAATTTTTGTACTGTAAGTGCATTTCTCTTATAAGTCTTCAGAATCATTCTAAGCAATCTATCTATATAAAATATAAATTTACCATAACTGTTAATTTTAAAATGATTTTAAATTTGATTTTATGGAGTTTGCCATTTTCTGTACATAACAGTGGTTTCTGGTCCCAAGTTCACCTTGAACTTATTTACTACAATGGTCTTTTTACTTCTTTTTCCTTCTACAAGGGTCTCATAAAAAAACAATGTGAAGGAAGGTTCTAAGAGTGACCAAAAGACCAGTGAACATATTATCTTTCTGAAAAAGAAAGAACTAAGTGACCAACTAAGAGAGCCACTTTGCACCAATGAAACAAATGGGGGTGAAACCTCAGAACAAGCAGAGCTTAAGCTCAATGACAATATGTTTTATAATAGGCCAGCTGAGAATGTATCTGTCAATCTTGAATAAGCCCAATGCATGGGTGGCAACAGTGAGGTAGTCCAGATGATATGCTCTGAATTTTAGATAGGTCTAGATGACATTAAAAATCACAATGGTACAATTTGATGTGAAACTCTAGTCTACCTACCACAAACTAGTTTTCTGAATTGGTCCTTATTCTTAGACCCAAGATCCAGCAAGATCCTCTCTTAAAAACAGCATCCGTGATTGGTTTCATTATCTCCCAATTAAGTAGTGGTGACATCACCACTAATTAGCATCCAAACTCGGATTCAAATCCTAAATGTATTGAGTCAGTAGGACAGAGCAGAAGCTATGTTGGGCCATACTGACCAATTTCTGAGAACCACATTAGCCACATTCATGCAGCTAAAACCCATCTATGACACACAAATGGCAGATGAGAAAAAAATAAAAAGAATGAGGTCATTAAACTTTAGCACTAGAAACATGATTCCACTGTTTCAAATAGGAAACCTACCCTGGGAGACCTCCACCAAAGTGCGGAAGGACCTGATATATGGGCTTATCTTAACACTAGAGTCTTGGGTCAATACTCTCCGAGGAGGATAAGAAAGGTGTAGTCTGTGAACCACCTGGACAGAAAGGTCGTATCCCAAGTGCCCTGCCTATCTGTGACAGCCAACAGACAATTCTGATTATGAAGTTAGCACTTAAGAATGGTTTGATTCTTCCTTATGCCACCAACAGTATTAGTCTGGGCAGGATTCCCTAGCTATTTACTTTCTTAAGATGTTCCCTGCCAAAAACAAACTAGAGCAATGCCTATGTAAAAACAAGGACTCTAAAGATCCTGCTACACGATATTCACAATTAAAAGGGCTCAAGATTCAGGACCACCTAAAGACAACTGACAACAAGTAAGCGTCAGAGCCAGAGGTCAACCTCGGCTAAATGATGAAGCAGCACAGGGCTCCATTTCTGTCTGATAAGGAGAGAGAAAAGAGGCATCTCGAATAGATGAAAAACCAAAGGCTGGGGTCCCAGAAAAACAGGCGGGCTTCAACGAAGACACTAAGAAAGACCTACAGAGCTGTATTAACCTTAGTTAAAAAAAAAAAATATATATATATGTGTGTGTGTGTGTGTGTGTGTGTCAAGGGGAACTGAACCACTTTCTAAATCATAGTATGAACTCATCTCTCCAGATACTTGGTAAGTGGTCAAAGCTTGTTTTCATTTCTTTTTGAGATGTGAGTTTTGCTCTTGCTGCCCAGGCTGGAGTGCAATGGTGCAATCCCAGCTCACCACAACCTCTGCCTCCTGGGTTCAAGCAATTCTCCTGCCTCAGCCTCCCGAGTAGCTGGGATTACAGGCATGCACCACCACAGCTGGCTAATTTTGTATTTTCAGTAGAAATGGGGTTTCTCCATATTGGTCAGGCTGGTCTCAAACTCCCGACCTTAGGTGATCCACCAGCCTCGACCTCCCAAGTGCTACGATTACACACACAAGCCACTGAGCCCAGCCATTTTTATAATTACTTTCACTTTCTTGTGAAAAAAGTCTTTCTTATCTTTGGTCCTTAAGTGTGGTATCAGTTTTTTTTGTTTTTTGTTTTTTGAGACAGAGTCTTGCTCTGTCGGCCAGGCTGGAGTGTAGTGGCACGATCTCGGCTCACTGCAACCTACATCTCCTGCGCTCAAGCAATTCTCCTGCCTCAGCCTCCTAA